GGTAGTGAGTCTTGTTCATAGGAACAATATTAAGAACATCAACTAACTTTTCATTTGGATCCATTTGGACAGCCGCCGATTTGCAAAGAAGAAGATTATTCTCTTTTAACAGGTCAACCATCGTCTATCGATATAGCTTGAAGTGCAAGAGGACCTCATACGACACTGTGAATGAGTGAAAAATGAGTGAAAGGTGTGCTTGTGTACGGTGGGTAACGAACTCAAAGATGTTTATCTAACAAACACATTTTACAATTGAAATTGGAAAGACTTTTATTAGTAAACATCAATGGATATAAATGTTTTAAATAGTAGAAACTAGGATGACCCAAACGATAATGCAATAACATAATGAGACATTCAATGACTCAAGATAAACTACAACTACTGAGTGGAGTGTTCTCAAGCTCCGTAATTTTCTTTTGGAAGTACTAGAGTCCAGCTACCTCCTTAGCAGTTTCAATCAACCCCCGCGAATGGTGGTCTTGAAAGACACAAACATCAAGAGAAAAACAAGCAACACAATCAATGTCATCCATCAACTTACTAGCAGATAAAAGATTACACTTCAACAGTGAAACATGTAACACAGATTTCAAGGTTAAATCAGCAGTTGGAAAAATCAACCATTTACCAACAATGAAACTACAGGAGTTGTCTGCAATTCTGACTATATATTTCCCTGAGTATAGGTAGTGTGTTGAGAAAGCTCTCAAGCATCCAGATATATGATCTGTGACACCTCAAACAATGATCCATGGACTAGAGAAAATGAAAAATGTGAGTGTCATAGGAATAGTATCTTGACAGACATGGGAGGTCGATGGATCAGCAGAGAAGTGATTGAATCTAAGTAGCTTGACCAATCGCTCTATCTGACTATTCAGAGTGTCGGAGCATTCTGAAATGTTTCGGGTAGGAGTTAGTTGAACAGTGGTAGATTCTGATGTCGTAGTGAGACTCGTTGCAGTAAAGGTTTTGGTCGAAGGTTTGTGTGTCGATTTTCTGAGGAGCGTCCAAAACTTATCACGAGTGTGTTTGGGTCTATGACAAGTGGATGATTCGACATTGAAGAGGGTTGAAGGAGTGAAAGTGTCGAGTATTAAAAGTCTTCGGCTTTCTTCACGGCGAATCTCGATGAAAATAGCTCGAGCAAAAGGCGGAGGATCTTCGTTGAGGTCTTTGTTGAGGCCTGCCAGTAATTGAAACGTGCGATCATTTCCTACAAGCTTCTAGAAGAGAAAGAGGTCAGGCAGAAAATCCCAAGTGTAGTCTTAATACTGGTCGCATTCCATCCATAGTGCCACCAGATCCCTTATAATACTGGATTACACTATTTTGCTTCTCGGGTCTTCTTAAACACCTTATAGAGTTGGTAAAAGTTTTGTACGTCCGAGTAGGCATCACAAACTGTCATCCATAGGGCACTAGCAGATGGAGGAACATATATGAACGACAATTGACGTTTCCATAGAGTTGATCAGCTATGACATGACCATGAAGTTCTTTACTTCCTAGGCTCCATAATCCATGCCAGTCTTTGGAAATTAAAGGATCATACATGTGAGGTGATGGAATTTTCCACATCCATTGACGAATAAAGACACCGCTTGGGACCATTGGAGAAAGTTGTCGTTCGGTTTATGAATGGTGATTAAGAAGTTCATGTTGGCTTTTAGCCCCCGAGTCTGCAGGGTAATTGAAGTTGGATTCGATCCATCGGTGGAATCAAGGGTTTCTTCTAAAAATTAATTAGAGCTGGAGGAGTCCGTAATGATTCCGACTGAGCCAAAGGAGATGTTGTTCTAATTCCAAGACATTGACGGGTTCCAAATGGTCATCGACAGCAGATAAACTTGCAGGTAACAACAAGAAAGCTGTAGGAAAAAAAATTCAGAGCAGTCAGAGGAAGCCTGAAGGGAAGCAATAGGGACATGCAGAGACAGCCGATGGGATTCTCCACCACAAGGACAACCGGCTGGATTCTCCACCACAGGGAGACCGGGAAGGACCTGTACGGACAGTTAGTCCTACTGCAGAGAAGGGAAGCCATAAGGATTCTCCACCACAATGAAGCTGGCAAGGACCTGCAGGTATAGCCAATCTTGCTACAAGGAAGGGAAGTTGCAGGGAGGACTTGGACCTACAGGTAGTTGAAGAGGAGATTGGCGACTAGAAGATCTTGCAGGGAAGGCCGACGGTAGATGCGCGGGAGGCCGGTGGCTACAGAGGTGGCACAAATACCATGTTGAACTTGTGAATAGAGCAACTTAATTTTGTTGATAGAAAGGGGGTTATATATAGTCAATTACAAGGGCACCCACAAGGAAAGCAATAAAAATAGAATAAAGAAAAATAAGAAAGGAAATAAAAATAGAATGAAGAGAAATGGGAAAGAAAATAAAAATAGAATACAAAGAAATAGAAAATGAATAATGCAAGAATTAATACAAATCTCTGCATAATATGATCCATCACTAAGGATAATAACTAAGCATCTTTTGATTTGTCATACAATAATTGGTGTCATCATGTATGGGTTTTGAATAATAACTAAGCATCTATGATACTTTTAGTAAAACCATCACTAAGGATAATATAATTTTTAGAAGTACTCAAGGGCATGAGAAAATTATAATTCTAGCTATATTTAACAAAAGATGCATGCTTATTCCAATGACTGATGAAATCAAAAACCTATATAAAATATTAAGTTATTTTCTTGCCATTAAATGTACTTGCATATGTAATTCAAATTTAATAGCTTATAGATTATAATTTCGAAAGTGCCAAGATTTAATTAAAGCAAAAAAAAATCTAATTCATATCATGTGATTGGCAACATATTTACTCTCAACAATACTATCATATTAATGGGAAAAAATGTAGGTAAAGACATGCAATAGGATTTAAATTGCTGTCACAAAGATTCCTAAAGCTTAAATCCATGCATGACAGATTTAACATTTGGACACAAAAGTTCCAATTGTGATCTTATACATCAATCATAAAAAATTATTGATGTCAAATATACAATCAAACCTCAATTATGTTAATGTGGTTGAGAAAGACTGCTCAAATTCCCTGAGTAGCTTAGGATTGATATCTTGTAGAAGATAGATTGCCTTGTTGGAGATCTGCATTGATTCACAATTAGTTTTGTGAAATCTAGCGGGATTTTCTTCATTTCTCAATCTTTTCCTTTTATTTTTGTTTTTTTTTAATTTCTTTTCTTTTGTTTTTCTTTACTTTAGAGGGGGCAATAAGATTGTCTCGACATAATTAGGATAGCTTTAAATTTTAAAGACTTCTTGTTAGTTTATTGGAGGAAATCTAGAATATGGTCTGGGAAATTAAATAAATGGAATATGTAATGGCCTAGCAAATTGTCAAAAAAATATGACATACGAAAATAATTAAAAATTGAGCCCTCCTTCCCTTACCATTGCTTTCACAACTTTTCCCAATTTCACTCCCCCTCTATCTGACTATTAATGTCATGACTAACAACAATAACATGAACTAAGATAAATGCAAAATTTTATGAAATCTAGAAGATCAAGAGTACGCATGAATGTCAGACAATTAAATTAAAGCTCCAACTAGCATGGAACCAGCTACAATAGGGGTGCAATATATAGAGTAAGAAAATTTCTATGAAAAAAAGCTAATAAATCTTCATATGAATTTTGAAGCAATACTCTTTACTTTGCATTTATATTCAACAAGCTTAACATGTTTTAGGTATATGCTTCAAATATGGAGCTTCTATATCACATTTCTTCAAATCATGAAAAGCTTACATTGACAATAAGTATAAAGTTTAACAAATCTATCATGTTACAATTTAAGTAAGGCAAAACTTAATATAATATTGGAAAAAAATTACCTTTTTTAATATCTTTTCACAAATTTATTTTTCTAAAATAAGTGAATAGGTTATTGAAGTTATAAGGGCAGGACAAAATACATACATTTGAACCAAATTAAATTTGATCCAATTTAAAGTTACAATCTATCGCATTTAAAAGCCTGTATTCAAAGATTAGCAACTTCTCACCTCTCAAATAAAAGAAATGAATTATTGACGAAGATTGGCATAGAAAATTCAAAAGGATAATTAAATGGGAAACAAATAAGCCATTGCTAACCAACAGAGGCATAAGATGAGACGTGTTTTTACCCATCATGAGATGGAAAATAAATCATAAGACAAAGTAATCCCCATGAATTTAATTTTTTAACACTTTATAAATAGGAAAATATTGAATCCAAAAATAGTCCCTCTATTATTCGTGCGACGTTGACCTAGTCCTCGAGTATCAAATTCCATCAATTTAATCCTTCAATCTTAAAAAAATAATCTTTTTTTATAGTCGTTAATAAAAGGATGAAATTCAAGTGGAAGATCTATAAGAATATCTTCAATCCTCCGGTATGATGTTCGCAAACTAGATGGATGGTTTTAAATAATAGTCAAATTTTGATGACAATTTTCAGAGATAAAAAAGCCTACAACAAAGTAAGAAAAGATTATTTTGTCCCCCTTTATTGTGCTCAAAGGACTCATTTCATCAATCATTAGAAGAGAAAAAAGGGCAGTGCATAGAAGATACAGTCAAGAAAAGGCACAGAAATCAGCAATTTAACTTTTATAATAGATAAAAATAAAATTTTAAAAAAAAAGATAACCAATGAAATTTTGCGTAGAAGAGCAATTATATCGTGTTAAGTGCCCAACAAATTGAAATTTTGCGTATAAATTGAAGTAATCATTTTGAAGCTTAGATTAAACTGAATTCTGAACTAACATAATAAATACTAGCACAGGCAAAAGGGAAGTTATTTCTAACAGCGACGCTGTGTTTTATAAGCTTATAAAGAAGGCATTATAAGATTTTAAGGATCACAATAAGATAACCAAAAACATACTTGAAATTAATGCAATTTTTAAAGAAGTTGTATAAATAGAATAAAAGAAAATAGATAAAGAATTGAACCTTTGGGTAATCATAACTCTCAATGTAATCAGAGCCCTTTGGATATTCATAATCTTTAGGATAGTCATAGCTCTTTGGGTAGTCATAATCCTTTGGATAGTCAGAACTCTTTGGGTAGTCATAGCCCTTCGGATAGTCAGAACCCTTTGGATAGTCATAGCCCTTCGGATAATCATAACTCTTTTGATGCTCATAGCTCCTCAAATAATCTGAGCCCTTAGGATGATCATAACCCATTGGGTAGTCGTAGAAAGGTCGGTCTGCAGAACCAACAGCAGTAGATGGTTGCCTTGCTCTTCTAGAGAAACTTTCTGGAGTAAATCCACGTCCTGGTCCGATAGCCAAAGGATCTGCAGGAACAATTCCTCCTTGAAGAGACTTTGACCTGAGCCTGGATGCAATCTCTAAGAGAGCGGTCTCAACAACCCTCTCATTTCCAGATATCTGCATAACCATGTTAGATGATCAGTTAAATTTGATCAACAAAAAAAATTATTAAAAGGCAATTCAAAATATATGAAATAAAGTATGAACAAAAATATAGGAGATTCAGAATGTTGAATAACAATCACTTTAATAGAATGTGATTAAAAACAGTCTTTCCTACAGCATGACCCGAAAGCACCTACAAGTGATCCTCAATATACTTGTTTTTTTTTTGCTAAAAATACAAACAAGAAGCGATTTATTAAACTCAGACACAATCTCACAAGCCTCCAAAAGCCTCCATCCTCCATAACTTCATCACCAAGTCCTCAAAACCCTTTATCACCTCTTGACCAAAAACCTTAGACTAAACCCGAGCACATTTCTTCCAAAATGCTAAAAAAAAATTCCCGATCAAGCACTAAAACTAATTAATCCCTTCTCGTCTAACCCTTAATCATGCACAATACTAACTCAATTCTCATCACACATCTCCAAAACATATGAAGCAAGTGAAAGACATTCTACTTCAATTTACTACATTTTTTGTACCAGAGCAAAACCCCGGTAGAATTGAAGAAAGTATCAAAGCAACATCAACAAGTCTCTCGCATTTGGCATCAACAATTTGTAGATTTGATTTCCACCTGCGGGTAACTGCAGCAAACCCTAGCTTTAATCCTTATGTTTGTATATTTTTATTTGCATATGAACCCAGGATCATAGCATGTAATATGACAAACATAAGATTCAAATCATGGTACCTAATTAGGATCACATCAAAATTGAGCCTAACCAAGTATAACCCGAACCAACTTTTTATAATTTCAGAACATGCATATGAGGGTGTGATCTACTTCAGCAAACCATCCATGCAAAACATTGACATGAATAAAATCATTATAGCTTGTATTATACTCAGTCTTTGTTTTTGATGTATATGTATGGTTATCATTGAAAATGGAAACCAATTGTACACAAAAATGGGGCATTTACATATGCACCATACAATTCTAATGTATTTACATATCTAACACCTAGAAATTCATATTTACATGCATACCACTCAAATCACATCAAAAATACCATCATTGTAACTTTTAAAAATGAAATATACATTTTCATGCATATGTTAAAACACTAGTGTTATAAATGTAAATATCAAGCTTTGGGTATTAGATATGTCAATACATAAAAATTGTATGGTATTGTATGTAAATTTCCCTAAAAAAATTTGCCTATACATAAAAATTGTATGGTATGTATGTAAATTTCCCTAAAAAAATTTGCCTGCATTTCATTCATTTTTATTAAGCATAATTTTCAAGAAAAGAATCTCACTATATGTGTGTTTGCATCATACCACCTAAACCAACGTCTACGGATCAACTAGAAGAGCTCGCCAAAGCTACAGAAGAATTGCCAACTGAATTTAACGCCTAGAATTATAAAATGGCATAGCTGCACAATATGATGAAGATGGTGATGATATTAAGAAATCAAATGAATAAAGGGCACAAATACAACTTCTTATCCTTGCGCAACTTATTCCCGTCATAAGCAAATGACCTAGCAGTGCTCCTCAACAGAATCATAGAAAAGACCATCACATTAGGAAAGTACCAAATTCATCAGAATGTAATTTTGGGTTGATAAACATAATAGGATTGTCGCTGGTTCTATAATCCCATTAAAAGACTCGAGAAAGAAGCAACCACATTTGATGATGTCCACGAATCCAAATAGTTCTAAGATTGGGTTACGCAAATGGACGACTCCTTTAATTCACATAAGATATGTGATTAGTAGACAATAACATTTACTAAAATGAAGTTGATATGACATGCAAAAATTTATTTGAATAAGATTTAGCAAAAAAAGTGACTTGATAGGACTAACCTTTCAAGGACTTCATGAGAATACTCATTTCAAAGTATTATGCAAAACACCATGGCAAATGTCAACCTTTTTATTGACCTTATGGCAAGGTTATTGACAGGTTATTGTTTAGGGAAATACCAATGATATTTAATTGCTAAGATAATTATGCATCTAATGATTGACCACATGTAAATAAGTTTGTTAAAAGCCTCAGAGTATAAGTAAAAAAAAAGATTGAACAACATTGTCCACGAATCTAGAGGATGCATTTCTTTCTGCATTGAAACAAAAGAAGTTGTCTCCAAACCCAGGGACAAGAGGTCCTGCTACCCATGCACTTATCCCAAGGCATATTTTATCCTTTATGATTGCAGCTAGCATTGTTTGCTTCTAGTAATCCCACTGTTATATCAACTAGAAAGATTGAGTAAAATGTACGATTTACTTGTCATCAATATGGACAGATGCAAAATATTTGCAAGGCACAAATTCTATTTTTAGATGAGTTATCTAGCAATAGCTCTAGAATATGATAACTTAAAAAATATTAATAATAAAACACGTCTATTAAATGATGAGCTTAATGTTTTCCCCCTTTATGGATGTCATTGTATTTCACAATTTGAATCTGATAATTGAAAATTGATTAATATTTTTCAAATGCATACAACAAGGAACGAGAAGAGAAATAGGCTAGACATAGACAAAGTTAGTGCCCTAAATGTTATATATACACTAGTTATCCTTAGAGCTATAATCCACAAGGTAAATTACATCCTATACAATTCTATGTTGGTTGAATAAACAATACTTTCACATTCTATAACCATCATGTTATGAAGAAGAGATTTTTATAACGACCTTTACATAAACATAGCACATATAATCTCTACCATGTGTGCGTGTGTGTGCGCGTGCGCGCGTGTGCGCGTGTGCGCGTGCGCGCGTGTGCAATAAGAGCAAGATCATCAAGTTATTCAACGTCAAGCCATCTCAAAAGAAAACTTAGCATGAACCACATAAGACTAGCTCGGTGCCCAATAAAATTAATCCTGCACCACTTCACTTGAAAGTAATCCGTTCATCCATAAATTCATATGATTTAGATATTTTTTCTAATGTTTTTGGTCCACCTATCTTAGATGCCTCTTTCAATACCATGTACCAATAAGATGATACATCATCTGACATATTCTTTGATGATCTATATATTAAACATGTCGTTGAGAAAGATGATACATCTCTGCTCTTTGATTTACACATATATGGCACATTCTCAATCTATTCAGCAGAGATAAATTATATAAAGTTATCCAAGGAGTTATTATTCCTAGCAATTTATAGCTCACTTCACTTGAAAGTGATCCGTTCATCCATAAATTCATATGATTTAGATATTTTTTCTAATGTTTTTGGTCCACCTATCTTAGATGCCTCTTTCAATACCATGTACCAATAAGATGATACATCATCTGACATATTCTTTGATGATCTATATATTAAACATGTCGTTGAGAAAGATGATACATCTCTGCTCTTTGATTTACACATATATGGCACATTCTCAATCTATTCAGCAGAGATAAATTATATAAAGTTATCCAAGGAGTTATTATTCCTAGCAATTTATAGCTAATTTAACTCTACTTTGATCTTTAGCACTCCACTATCATAAGTTGCTTAATATCATATAGGGTTTATTGTTTAGGCTTGATAAAGTTGATCTAACATATCATTCTATGTTGATGCATCATATTTAGTACTTTGCTTTCACAATCTTTATTTACATGTGCTAAAGTTAACAAGAATAATGACAAATATGTTACAAGTATTTATCAAAATTATACATTATGTGAGCATGTTAATATTAGTTAAGTTTTATTTGTCATTCATTCCCTTATTGTACAACCACAAAATGTTATATGTTGTGTAAGAACCTTGGATTGAATGATCATTCTTGAGTTTAAACATTGACCTTCACGTCTTCACTACAATTAATTAGTGATATCTAAAAAATTAATAGAATTTTGAGGTTAGAGAAAACAGAGGAAATAAAATTTCATTTTTTCAGGTGCTTTCATATATATATGATCTTCGATAGCTATAAACTTTGGGCCAAATGATGCCCCAATTATAGACACTCCACTCTTGTACCAATCCTTTTCTTGACTACCTCAATTTTAACTTCGCAGTGTGGAGTTCTTTTAACTGGAGGAGAATTGATGCAAGAAATCAAAGAAAATTGTAAAAATACATTTTTTAACGAGTATTGTAGCTTTAAACATAGAAGTTGGGTAGAAACTAGTTGATTGATCATCATCATGTGGCTAGCTTCATCAAAGTCGAAAACAAATAATTCCCACTGAACTCCACCAATCACCCAACAAAAAAAAAAAAAAATCCAGCCACCAAACCCACAACTTTTGAGTTTGAAATTATTTGTAATGTTTAAAAAGGACCGCAAACATTAGTAAGAAACCACCTTTCAAAGAATTGAATTGGAGGAAGTACATTTTCTTTCTTGGGTTCATGGCCAAAGGTGGTCAGAATAAAGATCAAGGACTACCGCCATCCTTTAATAAGGGCTGATTCTATTTGTTTTTTTGCGTTTTACTTACTGTATTATTACATTTTGTAGCATCTCACAAACCTCCATACTCCATACATTTCATCGCCAAGCAGCCCTTAAATAATTTCCACAACTCTCAAATAAGACCCTTAAAGATCAAACCAAAGCCCCACCCACTGCCCAACCCACAAAACATTCCCCATTCAAACACTCTTCTCAGCAACACCAATTAATCCCTCCTCATATAACCTTAGCCATTTCTAATCCTTCTTAACTTCTTATCACACACTCTTCAATCATATCTAAGAAGAGAAACCCATCCCAATAATTAAATCCACCGCTACATCCTCTACCACTAACTTAATCTCATTTGTGTTTTACACTTCAGAATTAATCTAGCTTCAACAACTTATTGATAGTTATTCTTTCTCTCTGTCCTACATGGTCAAAGTCAAAAAATAATTCAAAATAATTCACTAACAGCCAATGATGAGGATCTAAAGAAATTTCAAGCCAATCTCAAGGCAGAAAAAATTTACTCGCAGTCATTTTAATCTGCTTAAAATTA